CTTCTGGTTCGTTGAGGGTTCCTCACCCCCCACTATCATGACCCCAGTCTTGCTTTTCACTGTGGGCTACTAGACCTGAGCATGTGCACAGGTGCAGATAAAGAGATTAGAGCTCCCAACACAGAGAATCCAGGAAAGGGAATGGGAGTAGCCATATCAGGAGAGTTGGGGTTAGGTGAGGAGTGAAGAGGAAACCAACCACAATGTTCTACACATACCCCCCCACCCCACCCCCAGGGGGATGAACAGAAACCATGGAGGAAGAGAGACAGCAGTAGGTGTAAGATATGAAAATGATTTGCAGTTCAGAACAGTGAATCATCAATCCTGGAATCCCTCCAAGTAATTAACTTAAGTATGCAATTTAAGTTGACCATTAAACAATTTGCCTTTGAATTTGTGGATTAACTATTTTGTATTATGAAAAGTGTTAATTTAATTTTTAATACTGTAACCATGATTTTTCTAAGAGTTTAAAACCCACTGCTGTCAAATCAAAGCAAATTCCTAATGAAGAAAAACAAGAACAATTATAATAATAATGCCAGTATAACAGACATCACTGAAAGAAAAAATAAATGGAATGGGGGGTATTCAAGGTTCTTCCCCTTTTTTTATTAAATTTGACTGGTTCCAGAAATTCTTGAATCAGTCTCTGTGATAGTTACATAATCCTGTGTCAAATTGATGATATTAAGAGTGAGGGGGGAGTCTAGCTTGCCAATAAGGCCACAGCCTGCGTTTCTTCCTTGTAGATGTGGCCTTCTCATGAGGATTCTGGGAACTTCCTTTCTTTATCCCTGGAGGTAGGCCACACAACCCTCTCTCCGCTTCACCTTCCTGCTGAGGAGTCACATGGAGGAGACCCGAGTCAGCAGTAAGATGCTACCATTGTCACTGGATCTACTAGACTTTTCACCCACTGGCCTGTGATCTTCCTGCATTTGGCATCAATACATGTGCTGTGAGAGTCTGAAGAAGAATTTCTGGATTAATATCGGACATATGGGCTAATATCGACTTAATGGACCATTGTTCTTTGATATAAAGCCCTCTCTTACATATGAGTGTCTCTAGATTTGTTTCTATAGTCAACTGGGACAACATAGTCCCTGACCAAAGAAGTCAAATCAGTGACTACTTACATTGCTATTTATTCCACTGAAACAAATTACAAATTGTGGTGCCTACGAATACCATGTGTAAAAACTATCATTTTCCAAGTAAAGAAATGCTGTGTCTGGACCACATACACTTATCATGGAAACAGGAACAATCAATTTAGGGAAGTCTAGATTATACAGAATACACAGTAGGAGGAGGTTTCAAAAAGGTTGTGGAAGAACAGAATTAGAAAGATTTGTCCACAAACTTTTTAGGAAAATAAAATTAGCTCTTAATGCTCCAACTGCTTAAAAATGTAATCATTACAAGGTTATCAACAGTGCTTATCATATGCTTGGAACTGTTTTCATATAAGCATTAACATATAACAATTCATCTAATCCTATAACAATCCTATGAGGTAATAACTACAATTATCTTTGTTTTACAGATCCAAAATCACACAGCTAGCAATTAGTAAAACTAGGTTTTGAACCCACAATCTAGATTTTGAGTTCATGCTCTTAATGCATTTCTAATATAAATACCCTCCATTCCAAGTAAGGTTCTACTCTACAGTTCTATTTGAGTACATGAAATCAATTAAGTAAAAGATTATATTTTATCAACTCAACTGAGAAGAAACCAAGAGATAAGCATTTAATTAAAGTGTAAAGAAGCAATGGAACCATGATGTAGTTTACAGAATCAGTGCAACAAAAGAAAAGGGAGCAAAAAAAGAAAAGAAAAAGGAGCAAGGCTAAGTGCAGAATGCTGTTGCATACTCCCTGAGCACCCAAAACTAAAAACCGCTATTCCATAAAATGTCAGTCAGTGTCATTTGGAGAAACTGTGTCTTCATTCAAAGAGCCCTGGTGGTGCACTGTGGTGGGCTGCTAAGTGCAAGACCAGTAGTTCAAAATGATCAGCCACTCCAAGGGACAAAGAGGAAGCTTTCTACTCCAGAAAAGACTTGGTCTCAGAAACCCAGAGGGGTGGTTCTACTGTGCCCGACAGGGTTGCTATGAGGTGGCAGGGAGATAGAGTGAGTGACTTAGTTCAAGACACATTGTAAAGTACTGCTTAGTTAAAGCAAATTGATTTGGATTTTAAATCAAGCTTGCATGTGATATAAAAGATAAAAGGAGTCAAAGAAATGAGGAAGAAATTTTCATCTGGAGACTACAAAACAGGTGTGGGGGATCATCAATTTCTCTTTTCACAAAAGAGGAGAACATAACACTGTTGTTGTCTGAGTCGGTTCACACTCCTAACCAGTTCAGCTTCAGAGCCACCAAATGTGTAACTGAACAGAAACACTGGAACTGCACCATCCCCAAAACTGTTCCTGTTTGAGCCCATTGTTGTAGCCATTATATGTCAATCCATCTCTTTGAAGGCCTTCTCTTTTCCACTGCACTTCAGCTTTACCAAGCAACTCAACATTAAGCCAAGCAATTCCTATGAGGCAAAAGTCAGACTCACTTCCACTCTCCGACTTTCTTTCCCAATTATGACACCAACCATCCCTCCCTTCTTCCTCCCTCACTGTACTCTACACTTTTCTGATGGGTTCCATAATTCATTGCATTCCCCATTTACTGCAATGGCCACTCAGAACTCAAGAGACCAAAGTCACAGCTATCGAGTTGTTTCTGACTCATAGTATGCAATTACCTCTGCAGTCTGAAACAAAATCTTTATGGAAGGAGATTTTCTACTTTTTTTCCCCACAGAGCAGCTGGTAGGTTCATACCATACATCCTTCTGTTAGCAGCCCAACACTTACCCTGGTAATGCACTGAACCTCCTTATTAGGTAATTAACAGGTTACAATTCAGGATCAGAACTACTCAAAATACAATCTTTTGTCAAGATTCTAGGCCATGCACACCAATCACACCTCTCTCTGGTCCTTGGCCTCTCAGCCATGCAGCCTCTTGTCCTCTGCTATACTTGGGCAAGGTTACCAACTCTTGTCAACTCTGCCAATATATGTCCAAAAGGCAATCTCCTCCACCATAAGCCTCAACCTAAATCAGCAGAGCTCTAGTCCCACAAGCCCGAAAATCTAGCTCCCCGAAACTCTGGGAGGCACCCCACTTCATAAGCAAGTCTCCTCCCTGATGGTATTCATACTTCATGCTCCATAGGCTGGGAAGCCCAGGGCTCTGTCTTGTACTCCTAATGCTGCTGCCTCAACTTCTCCACCCCTTCTCTGCTGCCACAGCTCTCTTCCACATGAACAGAGGTGCAGTGTGTAAGGGAGTTTGAGGTCTTTGCACAGGCCAGGCTCCACTCCTGACCCTTTCTTGTAGTCAGATCCTCCCTTTCTGTTTCTCAGATGGCTCATTTTAAACCTAGCAAGATGGTAAAAGTGACCAATCCCTAAGATCCTACCCTTTAGGAGTGTCATTTACCATATGTCCATTATTAGCAAGATACTTAACCCCCTTGGACCATACATTCTCAATTTGCATGTTCCTATCCAGTTGTCTGCTATGAATTACAAAGACTATAGGTTGTTCCAGAGGACAACTGAAAAAATGCCCCCAAATGAAGACAGGCCTGGAACGAAAACCAAACCAAAAAACTACAATAATAATACTAAATTGGGCGTCCCCTACAGCCATGGCCGCAGCTGCATCTGGCTCTAGGGAGCAGCATCTACGGCCGAGATGCTCCCAAAAGGCGATGTGGCGAAGACTGAGGAGGAACAGGAGGAGGACGATGACGAGGAGCTAGATGAGACCCTGTCGGAGAGACTCTGGGGTCTGACAGAGATGTCCCTGGACAGAGTCCGGTCTGCGGCTGGAGGCACTTTTGAGCTCTCCTTTTTTGGGGCTCAAAAAATGTACAGTTTTTCCAGGGCAGCCTTGTGGATCGAGACCATTTCATTTATGATTCTGGTTCTCCCTGTTGTCTTCAAGACCGAGAAGTTGCAAATGGAGCAACAGCAGCAACTCCAACACAGGACTGTCGGGAGGACTGCCAGGGCCGCTACCTTCACTGCCTGGGAAGATAGAGCTTTAACCTGTATTGAGCATAGTGGGAGAAGCTTGAATTTCAATTGTTAGAACCGCTGGCTTGGAGAGTTTTTTGGTCAAACTTTGGCACCTTGATCTGTCTGGAACTGGTGGGGGAATCCCTCTGCCCTATAGATACACCTGTGCCCTCTACTCCATCAGAATAGCTCTTCTGTCTGCACGCCCACCCCAGAGGTCAACAATGCAGACGGTTACCTACCACCCACCGCTCACTAAATTGCTCCCAAGTTGTCCTGAACAACTAATCCGCCCTGCCTCACTCTTCCATTGCAAGGTCAGACCTGAGACCCTGGGAGGAATGTACCCGAGCGTTGGTGACTTGTGCTGTTTCAGAATGGAGATGTTGGGGAAGGACACACACAACATGCAACAGGCACAATACATTACAGTGGTGTGGCATAAAACCCACACTGTGTATCCATGTGTTGTGAGGAGCTGATTCCTCTGCCTTTTGGCAGATAACCCTGTATTGTGTGTATAAAAAAATGGCAGCAATCACCTTTTGTATTTAAATACTAAAAATTATTCCACCTGAAAAAAATTAATAATAATAAATAAAGCTACTCTGGGAAAGAAAAGGGGTGCGGGAGATACAGATGCAGCATTTCAGTTGAAAGAAGAAAAAAAAGTCAATGAGAAAACAAGCGCATTAGAGAATGCAGTATGAGAAAAGATGACACAAGTGAGAAAGTAGACTTGTTAGAGATTCGAGTGTCAAAAGAAAGTTTATTTAAAAAAAAAAGAAAGAAAGTAAGTTTAGAAGAACTAGCTACCATCTGTTCTGTCTTATTCCATGGAAGACTCCTAGCTAGCCCTGATCTTTGGCCCCTATCTAAACATTTCAGTTACCTTTTTGGAAAGAAATCGATGATGTCACTTGCAGTCTCATCATGCATCTTTCTCCTTATTGACACTCTACTGTCTTTCTTGCTGTCTTGTCAGCATAAACAAAAAACAGAAACCCATACACTTAAACCATTATCAAAAGCAACATGATTCAGATAGAAAAGGGTGAAATTTTCAAAGATTCCCTTTGAAGTTCTCCAAATATGCCATGCTCCATTTTATTCCCTCTGTCTGGAAAGGTATCTTTCACCAGCTCCCTTTCTCCTAAAAATGCCCCAAAAGCTTAAGAGTCAATTCTGACTCATGGCAACATCATGCACACCTGAGAACTCTGTGCAGTAAGCTTTTCAGTGGCTTCCTCCCCACTCCCCACAAAAAAGTGATCATTAGACCTTTAATCCAAGGTGTCTCTGAATGTACTCCAACCTTCAACCTTTCAGATAACAAGATCTAGATCATGTTAAATGGAGAGAAAATGTTTTGAGAAACGATGTACAAATGCGCTTTACACAATTGATGTGTGTATGGATTGGGATAACAGTTGTATGAGCCCCTAATAAAATGTTAAAAAATAATAATAATAATAAAACAAAACAAACACGAAAAAAAAAACAAAACATCTGCACCATCCGGGGACTCTACCTGTCCTACTCGTTCCTCATTTTTTCTGTGATTGTGTTGATTAGAACAAATAGTTCATTTTTGTAAATGATAACCCTTTGTTATACAACAGCTTTAATCTTACATCAATTAAAATAAAGAATATAATTTGACTATTACACCTTAGGTAGCTATTTTCCCCCTTACCATTGTGCCTCTCACTTAGCTAGAATCTACAAAGCAAACTCATTGTCATCAACCCAGTTCTGACTCATAGCAACCCTATTCATAGGCAGAACTCCTCCACTCGCCCCATTTCCTGAAGCAGGAGCAGAAAGACTCATCCTTCTCCCAAGGAGGGGTTGGATGGTTTCAAGCTGCTGACCTTGTCAGCAGCTGAACACCTAACCACTATGCCACCAGGGCTCTTTTCCACCAGGACTCAGCAAGTGTTAAATAAGTATCTGCTGAATGAATGAGCAAAGTCAGAAGAGAAACCTGCCAAGACCATCACATGATGAAGTCTTAAAAGTGAAAAGCGAAAGGAATCAGTAAAAGAAGGAAAAGTAAGGAATTCAATATAAGCTGTGGATTACAAAAGTTCACACATTTTCATGTGATACTAAAGAAACAAAATAAAGATAGTACAACAGTAGCCAGTATGCATCCTTTCCCCTCAAAAAACAAACTGCCACTGACATGATTGATACCTACTCACAGTGACCCTAGGAGAGGGGAGAAGAGCCCCTGGGAGTTTCCAAGACTAACGGTTTACTTCCTTTGTAGGAAGTCCTACCTTTCTCCCTCGGAGCAACTGGTTTCAAACTACCGACCTTGCAGACCATAGCCCAACTCATAAACAATGTCACCAGGGCTCCACCTTTCCCCAAAAGAAGTTTAAAAAAAAGTTTTAAATTTCAGTTAATTATATGGAACCAAACCAAACTCAATGCCATAGACTCAACACTGACTCACAGGACAGGGTAGAAATATAACTGCCTGTTTCTGAGACTGTGTTCATGGGCGTCGAAAGCCCCCTTTCTCCCAGGTATATGGAAAGCAGACTTGAAAAGAATTTGAAACATGTATTGATGATGATTTAAAAAACAACAACTATAGCCTTGAATATGAAGTCTACTTCAGCATAAACAAAAAACAGAAACCCATACACTTAAACCATTATCAAAAGCAACATGATTCAGGTAGAAAAGGGTGAAATTTTCAAAGATTCCCTTTTGCTTCCATCCAGAATCCACTCACAAAAGCAGCAGTCAAGAAACCTAACAACAACAAAAGAAACCTAATAACATACTACACTGGGCAAAACTGCAGCACAGATTTCTTAAGTGTTCGAAAGTAAAGACAACATTTTTTAAAGTCATTTTATTGGGGGCTCATACAACTCATCACAATCCATACATCCACATACATGTGTCATGCACATTTGTACATTTGTTGCCATCATCATTCTCAAAACATTTGCTCTCCACTTAAGCCCTGGGCATCAGCTCCTTGTTTTCCCCCCTCCCAAAGATAACATTTTGAAGACAAAGGTGCACCTGATTCAAGCCATGATGTTTCCAACAACCTCATATACATGTAAAAGTTGGACAAAGAATAAGGAAAACAGGAGAAGAATTAATACACTTGAATTATGGTGTTGGCACAGATTACTGGAAGTATCGTGGACTGCCCCAGAAGAACAAACAAATCTGCCTTGGAAGAAATACAGCCAGAATTCTCCTAAGATGAAAGGTGGAGACTTTGTCTTGCACACCATGAGCATGTTATTATAAGGGACTAGGTGCTGGGAAAAGGCCATCAGCATAAACAAAAAACAGAAACCCATACACTTGAACCATTATCAAAAGCAACATGATTCAGGTAGAAAAGGGTGAAATTTTCAAAGATTCCCTTTTGCTTCCATCCAGAATCCACTCACAAAAGATTTTTTTGTTCCTCTGGCAGTCCACGATACTTCCAGTAATCTGTGCCTAGGTAAAGTAGAGGATCACAGAAAAAGAGGAAGACCCTTAATTAAATGGACGGAAACTGGCTGCCACAATGGGCATAGCAACAATGATGAAGATGGTAAAGGGCAGAGCAATGCTTCATTCTTTTACACATAAGGCTGCCATGAGTGGGAACAAATTTGGAAAAGCAATAGTTATAAGGATATTTTAGAACTTGGATGTGAAACAGGTGTAACAGGTGTTCTCAAACCTAGTATGACCAAAGCAAGGTTAACTTCTTTCTCAACCCCACATCAGTCTTACTCCTTATCTCCACATAAATGACATTAATTAATCAACTCAAGCCAAAACTCTAGAAGCCATCCTTGATTCCTCCCTTATTCTACCCTCTACAAGCTTTTGCAAATTCCACATCTAAACATAAAACCTTTCTCCTAATCTCTACTGCCATAATCCTAATTGAGGTTATCACTTTCTATCACCTTCCCTGGTGGTAAAGTGGTTACCAGTTGGGCTGTTAACTACAAGGTCAGAAGTTTGAGACCACCAGGGGTTCCACAGGAGAAAGAAAAGGCTTTCTACTCCTATAAAGTTACAGTTAAAAAAACAATTACAGTCTCAGAAACTCATAAGGGCAGTTCTACTCTGTCCTATATGGTCACTACGAGTAGGCATCGACTAGAGAGTAGTGAGTTTGGGTGGCTTTTGGATGTAGTTAGCTGCTGTCAAGTCCCCTCCTATCCCTCGAAATCTCATGCATAACTGAATGAAACTCTGCAGGGTCCTGCACTATTCCCAAGCTAAACTACTACCGGATCTTTCTAAACTATCTCCCCACATTTACTTTCGCTGATTCACTCCACACTAAACAACAAAGATAATCTTTTAAAAAAAAAAAAAAAAGAGGGAGCACTAGAACTGACTGTGATTGCATCAATTCATTTTAACTGATTAATTCATTTAACTGATTAACTCATTTTAAGTGATTTAACCATGGGAAGTGGTGAGGGAAGCTCTAAGATTGATGTGGTGGTGATTGTACAATTCCCTTGATGTGATTGAACTATTCAATGGTATGATATGTAAATTATGTGCCAATAAAATTGTTTGGGGGGGAGGAAGAGAGAGAAATCATAGCATGATAACTTTTTACCTAAAACTCTCTGGAAGCTTCTATTTGGTATGAAATAAAAAATGTTTCATGATCCTGCAAGAGAGGTCTCCGGCCTTATCTACTACCACACTTCCGCCATAGTGACTGTTTTGCTTAACAAATCAATCCTTCACATATATTCTCATACCGAAAGTGTTTTAATAGTTACTCAAGAGTAACTTCCTCAGGGAGGCCTTTCCTGATCCTAACACTATGTAAAACAGTTTCATCATTCTTTCATCGTTTTGCCAATTTCCTCCATAGAATCTATTACACTTTTATCATCTTATTTCATTAACAAGTATGTTCTAGGTGCAAGGAATACTGTGGTAAAAAGCTTTCACATTTTTGCTAGGACTGAAATACACAAAGAAAATTGTTTATTGTTGCATCAGTTAACACAGTGGTTCTCAACCTTCCTAACGCCACAATCCTTTAATACAGTTCATGTTGTGGTGACCCCCCCAAGCATAAAATTATTTTCCTTGCTACTTCATAACTGTAATTTTCTTACTTTTATGAATCGGGCGACCCCTGTGAAAGGGCCGTTCGACCCCCAAAGGGGTCGTGACCCACAGGTTGAGAACCACTGGGTTAACGTTTTAGACTGCTAACTGCAAGTTACATAATGTGGTGGTAGTTGCATAATCTGTCAACTTGTGAAGGGGTGGAGTCTAGTGTGTCAATCAGGCCACATCCAATGAGGCCTCTGTGTAGGCATGGTCTTCTCCTGAGGATTCTGGGAACTCAGGTTTTCCTCTCTGGAGGTAGGACACACATTCTCCTTTTGAGCCATTCCAGTTGACAGGCCACAGGGAGCTAGACTGATAAGAGCCAGAGCCCTGGAGCTGGAGAAGCCACGTGGAGAGCCATGCCAGTGCTGAGATGCTTCCACCACCACTGGATCCACAAGACTTTCCACTCGCTCGCTTGTGATTGTCCTGCATTCTGCCATTACATGTGTGGTGTGAGTCTACAGAGTAATTTATAGACTGGTATCGGACAGGTGGGCTAATATTGGATTTATGGGCTTGGTCTGGACTGGGATGTTTTCTTAATATACAATTACTCTTTGATATAAAACTTTTTTCCCATTTTGTTGGGGCTCTTACAACTCGTTACAAACCATACATCAATTGTATCCAACATATTTGTACATATATTCTATCTCTTTTCTAGACATTTGCTTTCCATTGAGCCCTTGTGATAAGCTCCTTTTTCCCCTCCCTCCCCAAACCCCACCTCCCACCTTAAAACTCCCTTACACACGAGTGTCTCTGAATCTGTTTCTCTAGTCAACCCAGACTAAGACAGTTAACAGTCTGAAAATACTAGCCACTCCAAGGGAGAAAGA